TAAGTTTAAGCAGCGATCTCCTCTTCAACCACCTTCCTGTCCAGATAACTGCAAATAAAGAAAGTTGACGAAGAATGTTGAAGTGTTCAGTATAGCTCTCCTTTTTATAGAAACGCGAATGTGAAAGCACTGTCTGTTTTCTTGTGGTGTTTTTGTTTTGCACATGGCAACTGTTCTTAGATTACTAAGGAGATTTTTACCAAAAAATATGTTATCCAAATCAAAATAAGTCTTAGGTAAAGTTATGAGACAATAGGTTTCCATAAACATTTGAAGTTTTTTCAGTTGTTCGTAGGAGAAGATATCAGATTTGTCAATGACAATTATGTTCTCAGAGCTCACCTGGGTATGAAGGTAGCTTCTCACGAGTTGCTTAGATGGAGGTTGAGGAGCTCACATGACTCGTTCCTCGTGGTTCTCCCTGGATGCATACAATGGATGAAATCCAGAGCAGGTTCTCTTACACTCTAGTGACTCATCTGGAGGATAAGAACTAGTCCAAATACTTGAGAGTTAAATGGAAGTCTCTTATAGCACCAATATTTTGTTAGACGTTGAAGAGGTAAAGGATTTAATCCTTAAAGATATTAGGTCTGGGTAATTATGTTTTGTAATAGTAATTTTCATCAGCCTGATGTTTGCAGCTTGTTATAACCAGAACATTTTGTTCAGAGCATCTTTGCTGCTTATATGACTTAAGCAGAAATCACTGGAAAACAGAAAGAAATGGAATTACTGAACAGATTCAAGCAATAATTTCAACTCTTAATAGATAACATTTTGACAGAAGTAACTTGATTTAATCTTTTTAAAGGTTCTATGGCATAAAGAAAATACAGAATCAGTATGTGTACACTGATTACTTGCAGGCAAGTGGCTTCAAGATAGAAAAGGGTTGCTTCTCTATATTTTTAAAGTCATTATTCTTTAGCAATCTTGAGACTGATCATTCTAAAGTCTTTCAATTCAAAATAAAATGGAAATACCTCTTCTTTGGAGGAATATCTTTGTAGATCTAAACATAAAATCTTAAGAAAATAGTTTTTGAGATATTTTTAATAAACTGTAGGAAAATCCATTCCTGAAATGGACATAGAATCAACATCATAGAATTTTGTATGGCCATTTCAGAATTATGCTATTATTCATCAATTCAACTTATTTTACCAATGCTTAAAAGCCGTGGTGAAATTTTTAGGAGACAATGATAACATTCCTCCTTAACACAGTGAGCAAAGCTCAAATGCAATGGGTGTCATTCTGTTTGTGCAGAGATAAGCAGCAGGGACCCCTGCATTTCTGGTACACGTGGAGAGACTGAGTCCAAGAGTCAAATTGGAAGAGAAATTTTGGGTTTCTAGAGATGTTTCTCTGGTCCTTTCAAGATGTTGATCAATGCTACTTTCAGTGCTTCTTCTGGGTTTAGATGTCTCTGATTCCACCTGTAACTGTGCATGAATTATTAAATCGTGTGAGGAGGTTTGAGCAAACAACTCTCTCTCCAGTGGATTGAAAATTAGAAAACTGAATTCTGGAACATCCAAATACTTTTCAGCTCTCTGACAGGGAAGAGGCATCCATTTCACATGATGACATTGGGTAGGCCTCAGGCACTTAGGAGTCAAGTGTAGGACTTTTTACAAAATACTAATAAATTTCGTGATGCCATCAAGGACTTAAGCGACCTTTTGAAAAAATAGTAGAAGGCATCATAAGAAAAAAAGGGCAGCTGTAGTGGAAAGAGTAGCTAGTCTATCATAAATAATGTGACTTAACTTGTCTGCATGACAAGATTCGGTTAAAACAAGACAACTTTTGAGATTGAGTGATATAAAAAGCAATTATTCAGATATTTCTAAAAAATTCAACCCAAACAAAGTTTAGTAGACATACTTATTGGTACATCTCTATTTTTGTGCTTGCTTGTTTTTTAATGCTTCTTCCTACCTTTCTCCAAAAAGGTTTTAATGCAAATTTGGGGGCAGAGGAAAATATTTCTTCAAGCTAATTTTAATATGTGGATTTTTGGATTTTAGAACTCTGGTAACTGATTTTATTGAAGACTTTAAAAGCCACGCTCTCTGAACACAGAGGGCTATTCTGAATAACATCTAAGCGTTAGTATCTATGAGCTCTCTGTGGAGCTGACTATAAGTTAATGAGACAGTGCATGAGTGACACAGGAAAACCAATGCCATTACTTTATCAACACAGACATCAGTCTCCAGCGAGGAAAGTCTTTTATGACAAAAGTCTTCTGTGTAACCAGGACATAATTTATTGTCAGAGTGAAAGGTCTTGGACAAGTTGGCTTGACCATTTCTTTGTCCAGGCCTTCACCATCCTCAGCAGGTGTGTGTGTTTCGTAGCTTAGTTTAAAAGCATTAGATGGGATAGGCCAACTTTTTCCCATTCTGAGTCCCATTAAATCCTCCGCTAAACACTGATAAATCATCTAATTCTTTTAATGTTATTTACATCGAAATCTAACAATCTAATCTCCACTTTTATATTTAAAAATCTTCACTTTCAGAATATTTATTCATTCAACAAGCATTTTTATAAACTTAAAAAATCCAGATTTCTGGTGCTTGTTGAACAATCAGAAGCTGAGGTCACACAGGGTGTGAATTTCAGTGGGACAGCAGGTCGTCACTGTCGCCTTGACCGCTGTCATGCACGGGCCTCACCCTTCATTGATGGGCACACATGGCCCCCTTAGCATTTGAGGTCATCACCTCTCCTATAGACGTTTAGTTTACCAGGATCCAGTTACAATGGTCCAAACCATGGGGATGGATGTTTGACTCTTTTGTTTATAATTTTTATACCTACATTTTGCTTGTCTACTGCATATTCCCAATTTTATGTTCCATGGACATTTGATACTCAGATACCTAATTTGAATTCAGAATACTGAAACATTTTGAATCATTGTTTATTATTATTAGAGGAGCCCTATTCCAAGTGTGGCCAGTGAGAACCATCGCCCCTCGCTGGTCGTTCTGCGCCAGGTCGGTGGCTGTGTCTCCCATTCCTGTGACCCTGGGCACCGCTGCTCAGATGCTCTCCCTTCCTACCCCAAAACCAAGGAAAACAATAACAACAAAGACTTCACTTTCTTTTTCGTTCTGTAAAAGGAGAAGCTAAGACTCAAAAATCTGTAAGACGTTTTGTGACACACAAGTGACCATGGTTGTTCGTCACACATGAGTTCATTCAATAGCTACATTCTGACTTTCTCCCCCGTGGTCTTGGCACTGTGTGGTCAGACTAGGGGAGTCAAATATTGGCTCGAGCCCCGAAACCATATGTAATTGGGACCCTTTCTCTCAATTCCTACTTCCCCTTGGTGGCAATTTAAAATATCCTTTTGGGCCGGCCCTGTGGCTTGGTGGTTAAGTGCGCGCGCTGCGATGCTGGCGGCCCGGGTTCGGATCCCGGGTGCGCATCGAGGCACCACTTCTCCGTTCATCCTGAGGCCGAGTCCCACATACAGCAACTAGAAGGATGTGCAGCTACGACACACAACTATCCACTGGGGCTTTGGGGGGAAAAAATAAAATAAATAAAATCTTTAAAAAAAAAAATAAAATAAAAATAAATAAAATATCCTTTTGTTATGCACTAGAATTGATATACTCTTATGCTCTTTCCTTCTGGGCATCTTGAATTAAAATTACTTACATTTTTTAAATAGATCAGAGTCATTGTAAGTCACAGTTGATAAAAACTGACACTCTAGAGAAAGAAATTTTAAAGAAGGAAAGTTTTCTTCGTAACTGAGTATAAATGATCAAATGTGCACTCTCTTCTCTCCCTGCACAAAGTTGCAGAACGCCATCTGGATTATGTAGAGATCATCAGGGTTCCACGATACTGTGAATTTAGGGATATGTTTTCCTCAATGGAAGCCATCTCAAAGTACAAGTTTGACAGGCAGACTTAAGTAAACTCAGACATTCATTATTTATTTTGAGAAAAGGAGGAGGTCAAAGTCAGGTGGAAAGAGATGTAAACAACTCAGGTGGTGCTTCCAGTTTCCAGTCGTACTTTTAAAAATGGTCAAAATTTGCATAAGGATGTGAAGAGAGAAATATGTTAGTGTAGGACTTTCTTTACAGATGGCCTTAAAATATCACCTCCCATAAAAGCAATATACAACTGTCAGTCCTGCAGAAGCTAAATCTTCATTTGAGCTTGAGAGCTTGGTTTGACAAAGTCATTATAATGATTCATTTCTGGAGTTTCTATTGGACATGAAGTGGCTCAGGAGCCTCCTAACCAAGTGCCCCAGGAGGGTGGCAGGTGGTAATTCATAAGCCCCCGTCTTCTGTGAGCAGGAACAACTTTGTAATGTCCCATGAAGCTTACGATCTTGGAGTTTTAGGGGAAGGTGGCGTGAAGGCGGGTGGCTCTTGATGATGGACTCAGGTGAACACTGGCCGTCAAGACCCTGAAAGCAGCCTGGTGGCACTGATGGCTGGCCTCTCCTTCTGGAAGGTGCCTGGCCATGACAAGAGGGAATGTGGAGGCAGGAAAGGGTTGCAGTTTAATCAGAGGAGGCTTTGAGGCTTACTGGAGAATACAACGTGCTGGCTGGAGATACGGTCAGACTAGGGGAGTCAAATATTGGCTCTAGCCCTGAAACCATATGCAGTGGGGACCCTTTCTCTTATTCTGACTTCCCCTTTGAATAAGACAATTCTTCTTTGAAGAAGAAGATGACAGTTTGGAGCTCTTTGGACAAAAGATTCTCCTTATAATTATATAAATAGATAGGAACAAATAAAGTGATCAAAACTCAAGAAGCAATAAATGGTTAACAAATAGACCTGACCAAGAGCCACATTCATTTTCCCCTTTTTAAATTCACAATCTTCATTTTTTTTTCTACACTTCAAGGGACATTTGACAGCCTAGCCTATTTCGTTGTTATTTTAACTCTATCACACATTCTACCGTTGCTTCTCCTCATTCTTTCCCCTCCCTTCTCTTAGGTTTTGACCTGGTAAAATGTGAGGACCCAGGAATCCCCAACTATGGCTACAGGATCCGAGACGAAGGCCACTTCACCGACACCGTGGTTCTGTACAGCTGTAACCCAGGGTATGCCATGCACGGCAGCAACACACTGACCTGTCTGAGTGGCGACCGGAGAGTGTGGGACAAGTCGTTGCCTTCCTGCGTAGGTGAGTTGGGAAGTGGCTTCCATTGCTGTGCAAAAGCATTCATGCCTGAGAGCATGAGCTCCATGGCACTCCGGCTGAATTCTTCTGGAAGAGGACAGGATTTTTACCATGCTCTCTCCAGTGAGGATTTTTATGTATTCCTAAGATTTGTGTGTTATTTTTTTCAGGTATGAAAGGCAGATTTCCTAGCACTATTTTATTGAGACTGTATGCACAAAATTGCTGTTAGAAATATAGCACGAGAGTTTCATTGATTTATACCCTTGACTTTAATTACATAGAGGATAATGACTTTCCATCAGAATAATGCTTGGGAACAAGTAAAGACAAGAAATGGTGGAGACAGATAGACAATTGTGATTTTTTCCTGTGTATAATGCAGGCATAATGGTTTTCGTTTTTAAATTAGCTAAACAAATACCTGTGATGCCTGGAGTAACTTCCTCGTGTCTCTGTCCCTCTTGCAGCGGAGTGTGGTGGTCAGATCCACGCTGCCACTTCAGGGCGTATCTTGTCTCCTGGTTACCCAGCCCCCTACGACAACAACCTCCACTGCACGTGGATCATAGAGGCGGACCCAGGAAAGACCATCAGGTACCGCTTTGTTTGTGTTTTAGGGATTTGACAACAGAGAATTTCTTCTATCCTTGTAGTAGAGATAGAAGTACATCTATTATCCATGATTAGATTGAAGTTTCTGAGTTAAAGAAGAAAATGTAAGGTGGGGATACATTTTTCATTGGCTTACATGCTCGCTTGGGCATTCCTTTGAGGGCTTGTGTTAAGCCACCTATAATAAAGATAAAAAGAAAGTAAGTGTATCAGTTAGCTTGTGCTGTGTAAGAAACTACCCTCCTAAACTTAGTTGCTTAAGACAATTATTTATCTGCTTCTGACTTGGTGGGTTGCCTGGGCAGTTCTGACCTGGGTGAGCTTGGCTGGGGCAGGGGTCCAGAACTGCCTCATGCAGATGTATGGGCCTCAGCTGGATGGTTGGGAAGGCGGTGGCCTCTCCACACCAGGTTTCTGTTCCTTCAGTAGGCTAGTCATGGTGGGAGGTTCCTAGCAGCAAGAGATGACATACTTTTCAAACTTCTGCTTGCATTACATTTGCTAAAGTGCCATTTGCCAATGCCAATCTAATGGGCAAGATAAGGGTTGAAGAAATATACTCCACTCTCTATGGGAAGAAAAGCAGAGTCATATTGAAAATGGGCTTACATATGGGGATGGGAGGAATGTATGGTAATTTTGTAATATACAGAAGTAAATTTGAAGTATTCCAATCGAAAGTTACACACATAAAAGAAAATCATTAAAAGTTGCGGAAAATTGTGCAAACATTTCAAGAGAAAGTGGTGTTTTATTTCAATTGATAGTTCTAAGTTGTTACGGTAAGGTTTTTATAACAATAAGTAAACCAACAAAAAGCGAGCTTTTTAGAGTAAGTTCTCCATGTCCTAGTCGGAAGACTGTGTCAGAAACCACAATATATGAAACAAAGAGTAGTTTCAAAACAAATTCTTTAATTACAGTTCTTGATGAACAACAAGAGAACATATGGTCCTTAGCAATGCTTCTTAAAATCCCTTTTCTTCTCCCATTAACTTTCCTCTGTCGTTGTAGTTGTTTTTGACTCTCTACAAAATTTATTTTTTAAAACCTCTGCCCCACCCCGAGAGCTGTCATCCCGGCGTCTGATCCTTTTACCGCCCCCATGTTGTGATGCTATTGCACTCACGGAAGAATGAAAGAATCTGGCCCACACAGCTTCTTCTCTAAAAACAGGAAGAAGCTGAAAGAAAGTGAGAGGTCAAAGCCAGAAACCTCTTTCTGAGGCAAGTGAATGGATACAACCTTCATAAACTAGTGATTTTTGGCCTTATTCTCAAACGGCATCCTAGCAAACTCAGTCACGTTTATTAAACAGATATCACAGATTCATGGTACTGTAACTTTGTAACTTAGCAAAGATAAAATGGGATGACGTGGAGAGGAGGTACATATTCTGTTCCACCGTGCTCTGTTTCTCCTGTGTGACATCCATCCTCTCCGAAATTCACCGTTCTTTCTTTTAATGTAATTACATTAATGTCTAAGGAGTGAATTACACTAACATGGCACCAACTATTGCCACTTTCAAACCCTACGTAAGAAGGATTCCACTGTGAAGAGCAAGAGAAAGAACTTAAAGCATGTATATAATGCAAAAATATTATTTTATGGTAACTCATTTACAACAGTTTGTGTCCTTAGTTAATATAAGTGATTAATTTGATAATTCTTGATCTGTTGGGACAAAACTAAGGTATATTTCAGTAACGGAATTTAAAATTCAATATTCTCCATGAAAATCAATGCTGTCACTTTTCCACTGAACTAAATCAAATTAACTATTAATTCTTTTTTTTTTTTTTTGTGAGGAAGATCAGCCCTGAGCTAACATCTGTGCTAATCCTCCTCTTTTTGGTGAGGAAGACTGGCTCTGAGCTAACATCTATTGCCAATCCTCCTCCTTTTTTTCCCCAAAGCCCCAGTAGATAGTTGTATGTCATAGTTGCACATCCTTCTAGTTGCTGTATGTGGGACGCGGCCTCAGCATGGTCGGAGAAGTGGTGCGTTGGTGCGCGCCTGGGATCCGAACCCAGGCCACCAGTAGCAGAGCGTGCACACTTAACCACTGAGCCACGGGGCCGGCCCTAACTATTAGTTCTTAACTTTGAATTTCTGAATGCTTGATTTGAGTAATATAACAGCCATTACACTGGTTTTGATTGTGAAAAATCCTAGGAATCATCTGTGATCATGATATGACTTGACATAAGAGGGTATATTTTGTTTTAGGAGGATTTCACATTTTCCTATTTCTTACATGTTCTCTTGTGATTTTTTTCCCGAGAATTAGAGTGAGCACTGTGTTCTCCTAAATGCAACCCAAGTGATGAATTCACTCTTCACAGGTGAATCTAATACTTCATTAACATTTTAATAAGAAAAGAGAAAAGAAATTAATAAAGGATGAGTTGAAGTAATAAAAAATATACAACTTTTGAATCATGAACTGACTTTGATATTTTATCATTAACGTTCTAGAAAAAAAGGCATTGCATACACCAATTTGTTGTTCCGGGAATTATTTTCTTCTCTTACATATCTTTCAAACGTGAAAGTTTACCTTACCCAATTTGTAAACGGATCTTTTTAATTTAAGGCATGAAATCCTTTGAATAAGGAAGTTAAGAAGGAATCATCAGTATTTATAATTAATTTACTCAATAGATATTCAATTTCATCCCAAAAAATATATATATATATATATTTTGTGTGTGTGAGGAAGATCAGCCCTGAGCTAACCTGCCAATCCTCCTCTTTTTGCTGAGAAAGACTGGCTCTGAGCTAACATCCATTGCCAATCCTTTTCCTTTATTTTATTTTTCCCCAAAGCCCCAGTAGAGAGTTGTATGTCATAGTTGCACATCCTTCTAGTTGCTGTATGTGGGACGCAGCCTCAGCATGGCCAGAGAAGTGGTGCATCGGTGCATGACCAGTATCCGAACCCGGGCCGCCAGTAGCAGAGCGCGTGCACTTAACCACTAAGCCACTGGGCTGGCCCTAACTATTAGTTCTTAACTTTGAATTCCTGAATGCTTGATCTGAGTAGTATAAAAGCCATTACACTGGTTTTGATTGTGAAAAATCCTAGGAATCATCTGTGATCATGATATGACTTTACATAAGCAGGGTATATTTTATTTTTAGGAGGATTTCACATTTTCCTATTTCTTACATGTTCTCTTGTGATTTTTTTCCCGAGAATTAGAGTGAGCACTGTGTTCTCCTAAATGCAACCCAAGTGATGAATTCACTCTTCACAGGTGAATCTAATACTTCATTAACGTTTTAATAAGAAAAGAGAAAAGAAATTAATAAAGGATGAGTTGAAGTAATAAAAAATATACAACTTTTGAATCATGAACTGACTTTGATATTTTATCATTAACATTCTAGAAAAAAAGGCATTGCATACACCAGTTTGTTGTTCTGGGAATTATTTTCTTCTCTTACATATCTTTCAAATGTGAGAGTTTACCTTACCCAATTTGTAAACAGATCTTTTTAATTTAAGGCATGAAATCCTTTGAATAAGGAAGTTAAGAAGGAAGCATCAGTATTTATAATTAATTTACTCAATCGATATCCAACTTCATCCCAAAATATATATATATATATTTTGTGTGTGTGAGGAAGATCAGCCTTGAGCTAACATCCGTGCCAATCCTCCTCTTTTTGCTGAGAAAGACTGGCTCTGAGCTAACATCTATTGCCAATCCTCCTCTTTTTTTTTTTCCCCCAAAGCCCCAGTAGATAGTTGTATGTCATAGTTACACATCCTTCTAGTTGCTGTATGTGGGATGCGGCCTCAGCATGGCCGGAGAAGCAGTGCGTTGGTGGGAGCCTGGGATCCAAACCCGGGCCACCAGTAGCGGAGCACGCACACTTAACCGCTAAGCCACAGGGCCAGCCCCATCCCAAAATATTTTTGATGATTTCTCTTCATTAAGAAAAAATGTACTATTTTGGTGGTGAACATGATGTAATCTATGCAGAAATAAAAGTATAATGATGTACACCTGAAATTTTTACAATGTTATAAACCAATGTTACTGCAATAAACAAAAGATTAAAAAAAAAAAGAAAAAATGTACTATTTGTAGTATTTTGGTTTGGAAAATAACATACTTAAAAGTACATAATATATAATTTTAGGCTTAAAATGGTCCTAATACTTAGGAAAATAGAGTCTGGGCTAGCTTTGATATCTATTGGCTAGTTCATTAAGTCTTAGTTATTTCATTAGTAACATAGCTAACATTACATACACCGTTTTCTTGAAAATGAGAAATGCATCAGTTATATAAACATGAGTCTAGAGATTAATTTAAGTATTAAAAAATTTTTAATATAAATGGAATTCATTACTGTACATTCAAACTATGATTTTTTGATGTAAATGTTTTTCACTCTCAAAGAATGAGTAAGCAACAAGATCTCAGAAATTGTAAAAGGGCTGGTTTCAACGCTTCAGGTAATCATTACTGGGCCGACTTTGATTTCATCGAGGCCCAGGGTGATTTCTGATTGAGTATTGATATGAGTTTTTGTTCGAGGTAACAGAAGATCCCAAAATAGTTATTGTCATAGGGCACTTGAGTCTGGAAGAAGTTTGTAATTTTAACATATATACTACAAAGCAGTTACCTGTGCCAAATTTAATTAAAAGTCTAATCATGAGACATGGTAGTAAATTTAGCCGCATTGAAAGTTATCTGTAAACATTTCTCCAATGTAGTTCATTGCTGAGCACAGCTGTAATTTATATAATAAAGGTAACAGCACCAGAAACATCTTCAGCAAGCAGCATTAAGGCTGTGTTTTACATAATCACATGTGTATATTGTTCCTTGGTTTTAATTGCTTTTCCAAAAGTGTAATTGTCTGGAAAACCCACTTTGAAAGTATTTCTGTTCCTTGTCGTTCATAGGAAATTGCATTTGGAGGAAGAGTCGGGGGAGAATTCTTTCAGAAAAGCTCAT